GGTTCAAGCGATACTTCTGCTTCAGCCTCTCGAGTAGCTGGGACTACAAGCGAGCACCACTATGCCCAGCTAATTTTTGTATTTTTTATTAGAGATGGGGTTTCACCATATTGGCCAGACTGGTCTCGAACTCCTGATCTCGTGATCCTGTCGCCTCAGCTTTCCAGAGTGCTGGGATTACAGGCATGAGCCACTGTGCCCTGCCAATATTAACAAATAAATTTTGATGAATTTAATTTTTCATCAAAAATATTATTGAACACTCACTATGGGTGATATGCTGTGCTGAGCAAAGCAGCTGCAAAGTTGCTTCAGGTATAATTCTGCCCCCTGGTATTGGACCAGGATTCATATTTTGACCATAATAAATTAAAACAAGGTCAGCTTCTTCAATAAATAAGTTCCCTTAGATTGAGTTTAAAACTGGCAGATTTTTATAGAATTACAATCTGAAGAAAATGGTGGTATAACATGATTTCCTATATAAGAATATGTTGAAGGTGTAACAACATCATTAATCTAGTTGATTTTCCCAGTATTTGCCAAGTCAGTTCCTTAAATCTTCATAAAAGTCTTGGAACTCAAATAGAAGGAAATCTCTTTTAGTGGATGAAAAATACTTTGTTTTGTTTCATAGGTTAAGAGCAGGATTATGTGATCGCTGTGCAGTAACTGAAGAACATATGCGGAAAAAACAGCAAGAGTTTGAAAATATCCGGCAGCAGAATCTTAAACTTATTACAGAACTTAGTGAGTTTCCTTTCTTCATGTATTAATTATTTAAAGTATATAATGTATTGTTGTTAAGACTTATTAGTAAATTGATTGTAATTAAATGGATTGTTTACATGTATTTTTTCTTATTTAGTAAAAGTTCAAATGTCCTTTTTTGTACTTTTTGTAGATTTAATCTCTTGCTTAATTTAGTAAGAAATAGGATACAGAAAGGTTGTGCAAATACTGTCCACATTGGTCTTAAAGTCATCAGTTCTAAGACAAGAAGCAGGTTTTTTTTTTTTTTTTTTGGACATGTCCATATTTGCTTCTTTGGTTTTATCTTTATTTCATGTAACCTTAATACTTAGTAAAGTTAAATACAAAGCAGACAATTTAGTGTTCTACAGTTTTCTCTCTTGGTATCTATGACATACTGTTTTCATAAGTATACTATTTTCAGTTTATTCTCCTTACCTATTGAGTGTAGAGTTTTTCTACATTCTTAGCTGCCTTCTTTTATTCTTTTAATACTTCTGTTAATCTTACTCTCTTATAACTATTTATTTCTTTGGGTGACCATCACCTGGATTTCCCATAAGCAGCTCACAATCAATATATTCAAAATCTAATTAATTATCTTCTTTTCCAAACTAATTCTGTCTTCTATTTTTTTCTGTTAATTATATTGCTATCCTCTGGTTATTCAAGTAAGAATATTGAATATATGTTCATTGTTTTAAAAAGAGATAAGAAAGAATATAACTTTATTCTGCTCCCAGAGGTAACTACTGTTAGTAGTCTGATACATATCTATCCAGGTCCAGGTTTTTCTGTCTCTGTCCCTTGTTAGACCCCACTTCCCTCCCTTCTCCTTTTAATTTTAATGGGATCATACCATACTTTGTGTTCTAATGTGTTATTTCACTTTAGACTATGTCTTGAAAGTCTTTACATGTTAATATGTCTATAGATTCTATGGTGTATATGGGTGAACATGTGCATATATTTATTTAGGAATGTAAGAATATTATCAATGAGTAGAAAACTGTTACATCTCAATAAATATATAGTTGTTCCTTGTCATCTGTAGGGTATTGGTTCCAGGACCCTGACACATACAAAAATCCTTGGATGCTCAAGTACCTTATATAAAGTCACATAGTATTTGCATATAACCTACCCACGTTCTCCTGCATACTTTAAATCATCTCTAGATTCCTTATAATACCAAGTGCAGTCTCTACACATCACTTCATTTGTGTGAATTAAATGTATTCAGTGTGTGGCAAATTTAAGTTTTGCTTTTTGGAACTTTGTAGAATTGTTTTTTCCCAGATGTTTTCCATCCACAGATTCAGAACTCACAGATACAAAAGGCCAACTGTAGTTGAGATCCACAGTCATATGATTGTTAGTACTACTGGAAATAATCTCCAGTAATGTCTACATATCTATATTTCCAGCAACATTATCTAAAATAGAGCCAAAAACTCCAAGCAAGCAAAAAAGCTTGTCTAGGTGTTAAAGACAACATTTTTTTAAATGGCTGCATTGTATGCCGTAGTATAGGTGTCAATTTTTTAGCTATTGTCACATTAATGGACTACTCAACTTTTTGTTTGAATGTTTGAGAATTTTTGTTTTCTTACATCCTCTTCAGATTTGGGCAAAAATGTATTAATAATAATCAATCTAGTGGGTGAAGAATTATACCTTTTTAAAATTGGCATTCCCTGTGACTGTTCCAATCAAGTATTATTTTATATGATCATCTTCTTGAGTGAATGGCTTATTTATTCTTTGCCCAGTCTTAAATTGCCCTATTTGCTGTTTGTATTTTTTAATTAAGAGTTATTTATATATTATGGAAGGATTATTACACTTTGGTGGATATATTATGCATATATTTTCTACCTTGCTTCCTGTTGACTTCATTTTTAACTACTTGACATGTGGAAGTTTTGTATATTTTCTTACCTTGTTTAGGAAGGCTTTCTCTACCCCCAAGAATATAAAAATATTCTCCAATTTTTGTACATACGATGTATGTATACACACACACATAAATTTGCATATTTAATCCATCTGGAATTTTTAACATGGAATGTGAAGTAGAAATTTGCCATCTTTAGAGTTTGCAGGCATTCATCCTCAAGCTTATTGTCTCATGGTCAAAAGATGGCAGGTACTTTTTCAGGCTTCGTGACTGCGTTCATACAAGAAGGAAGAAGCAGCAGCAAAAGGCCGAAAGGAGCATGCCAGGAGAGTCTTTTAAAAAAAAAAAAAGCTTCTTCGAACATCCACCCAATAACTTTTGCTTCAGTCTCGCTAGTCAGGAACCACCCCGACCCTCCAACTCACCCCCATCATTGGAAGATGACTAAGGATTTCTTTCATTAGCTTTATTTTGCTGCAGATTGTCTAGGTAAAAATATCATTTGCAAATAGTGACAATTTCATCTTTTCTTTCAATTATTTTTAGTTTCTTTTGGTGATTGTTTTTCTTTACATACTTTATTGGCCTAAGGGACTTTAGGCTACTGCCCAGAATAGCAGTTGATACATAATGAAAGACTAGACTATATTACATTTAAGTGTGCTATGGCCTTCTAGTAGATACGTGAAGTTAAGTTATGGATATTTCCTTCTGTGCCTCTTTTGCTAAGTTTTGCTTAATTGTGAATTTATACAATTCTTAGCATCTGTTCAGGTAGTGAGTTTTACTGATAGCTTTTCTAGGGTGAACCAGTGTTTTAATTTCTTTTTTTTTTTTTTTGAGACAGAATCTCACATTGTCACCCTGGCTGGAGTGCAGTGGCATCATCTCTGCTCACTGCAACCTCCACCTCCTGGGTTCTTTCAAGCAGCTCTCTTGCCTCAACCTCACAAGTAGCTGGGATTACAGGCACCCACCACCACGCCCAGATCATTTTTTATATTTTTGGTAGAGACGGGGTTTCACTATATTGGCCAGGCTGGTCTTGAACTCCTGACCTCATGATCCGCTTACCTCGGCCTCCCAAAGTGCTGGGATTACAGTTGTGAGCCATCACACCCAACCCCAATGTTTAATTTCTAAAACAGACAGACTTGATATGTTAATGTTTTAATTGGGGAGCGTACATTTAAATATCATTTTGTCCATTCCGTTTTTCTGCTATCGAGGTTCTATTACGATCAAAGAATTAGGCCAGGCGCTGTGGCTCTCGTCTGTAATCCCAACACTTTGGGAAGCCGAGGCGGGTGGATCACGAGGTCAGGAGTTCAAGACCAGCCTGGCCAAGATGGTGAAACCCCGTCTCTACTAAAAAAAAAACCACACACACACATACACACACAAAAATTAGCCGGGCATGGTGGCAGGTGCCTGTAATCCCAGCTTCTCAGGAGGCTGAAACAGAGAATTGCTTGAACCTGGGAGGCAGAGATTGCAGTGAGCCGAGATCACGCCTCTGCACTTCAGCCTCGGCGACAGAGTGAGACTCTCTTTCAAAAAAGAAAAGATCAAAGAATTAACTAGGATGCTTTGAATCATTTTTACATTCTTTTTTTTTTTTTTTTTTTTTTTTTTGAGATGGAGTTTCTCTTGTCGCCCAGGCTGGAGTGCAGTGGTGAGATCTCAGCTCAGTGCA